TGCAGAAAGCCTTGAACTCAACAGTCGCGTTATTTGGGGTCCTTATAATAAGGATCCTACTATTTAGGGTACTATCTTCGGCCAACAATCGCGCATATCCCAGCAAATCGATCCGCTCTCGCGGCATCGGAGCCGAGGGATGAGTTGCTCTAAGCCCCATAGGTTGCTCAAATTCAACAAGTTCACCAAGCTGTTCTTTGTTCCAGACCGTTTCTGGGCATCCTGGACAAATATCCGGACGTACATAGATGTGTACATATGTATACTTATATACATACATAATATATACATATAACTCTATATATATATATACACACACACATTCTCGCTCTCTCGCTTTTGGGGCGTAGAGTCCGAGTCGGACACAGCCCATTGGCTTGCATCTAATTAAATCATGGAGGGGGAAACCAGGGAAGGTCAGTATGCTCAAACCGCAAGGTACGCCTCCCACTCGGCTGAGCAGAAATCTGACCCAACTGTGCAGATGCTGTTGTGTGTAATCCGGCGCCGCAGCAACAGCTGTCCCGCAAACAGCGCATCACACACGCACACAAAACCAAGAAGGCGGCAAGCACGGCCAGACTAAGCCACATCTTAGGACCTTGGAAAGTGCATGGTATTCCTCACGGGTATCGTATGAGGCCATCCCTGCACAATGTACATACCCTAGATGTCAAAACACCTTGGAGTACGTGATATAAGGACATCTAACAAACAAGAGTGTGGTATTAATTTACAAGTCCACAAGCGCAACTAACCATTGCAGCTTTGCGCCTCTTCCTCGAGGGGCGGGGGCGACGCAAACAGCAAAGCAACACCTCACACGATTATCAAAAGAACCGTGCTCACTCAAGACATGCGTGTACAACGGTTGTACAAGCACGCACGCCGAGCCAAAAACAACCAAACTGCAGCTGACCAAAGCTTCTGGCATCACTACTCGTCGGCGGTGTTACTTGAAATCCTTCCGCATAGCAAACTTGCTTAGGAACTGCCAAATCGGGAAGACGGAGTCGGGGTGTCGCACAGTCGTTGCTCGAAGGATCACGTAGAACTGGCCGTCATTAGCCCAAGATGAAGTCAAACCAGCATCCTGCGGAATCGCCACCTCGGTACTACACACGGGGCTCAGCATGCCTCGCCGGAGATGCTCACCGCCACATTGAAGCACATGCCCGTGCCGCTAGGCCGAAAGCTCGTGTCCGCGTAGAGGTAGCAGTCCGCGTTGTCGAAACCCGTGGTGCCGATGTTCTCCAACCAGATGGCGCATCGATTCATGCTGATGCCAGCTGCGCCGAAGATGCAGAACCACTGCACAGCATACAGGAAGCGCAAGGGGCACATGACCCCGTGCTTGATGGTGCATAAGCGAGAGATGCTTGCCATGAAAGCGCCGACGAGAGGGGCCCAAGCAATCCACCTTGGCGCACTGGCGGTCATTCGGCCGCTCCTCTCCCAGTGCCGTGTGGGCACAAGGTGCGATGTCGAAGGCAATCGCGATGAAGTGGTTCAAGTGGTGACCGACCGTCCGGACGATCAGGTTGAGGATGTACCAGGGCTCATCCAGTCCAAGCCCAATCTTGATTCCCAACGGCAAACATGCCACGACAGAAAGCACGGCACGGGCCGTGATGATGGCAATCACCACCGCGGAAGTGCTGGTCAGCTTGTCCTCGGTCACGGTGCCGCCAAGCCGGCTCTTGGCGACTCCCCTTCCCCGAAGGGCCATGGCGTGGGGGTCTGGGGCTTCAGCAAGCTGGCCCTGTCGCTTGTGTTCTGAGCCATATATATATATATGTATATGTATGTATATAACAGAAAGGATATGCGCATATCAATACACATATCATGCAAACTGTTCAGTTCGTGTGTCTACATGGTTCTACCGTCAGGATTGGACGCAGAAGATGGACTTCCCGACTTGGTGACTTGAGGTTTAGGGTTTACATTCACTTTGGAGTGTCTTGGGCCTCCATATCCACGATTGGCAGCCAGCGTGCAACCACGTCCGAGCCCTAAATTAATCATAACGGGATATCAAGATGCTGTTTTGGCAGGGTTAGTCATAGTGGTTATACCAACAAGAGCCTGCATCATGGAAACATGAATCGTAGCAGTGGTCGCCCACGACGGAGATGCCAGCTATCACTCCACGTATCACTGCTACTACTGCTACTACTACTACTACTACTGCTACTACTGCTACTACTGCTACTACTGCTACTACTGCTGCCACTGCGACTGCGACTGCTGCTGCGAATTTCCTGCTACCTGCTGCCTGCTGCCTGCTACCTGCTACCTGCTACCTGCTGCCTGCTACCTGCCACCTGCTAGTGCTAGTGCTACCAGTACCTCTATCGCTGCTGCTGCTGCTACTGTTGCCACCACCACAACCATAACCACCACCATAACCACTACCACGTAATCAACATAGAAGTGATAGTAGGAAGAATCGACCTTCAGTCCTCTGTCTCTAGTGGCTGCCAATGCTGTTCATGAGAATCTTAGACTTGCCATGCCGGATGCCGAATGTGCATGCGGAGTGGCGGCTGCAAGGCTTGCTGAGACTGTTGCCTTTTTCAGTTCCGGTTCTTTACAAGCTTTGTTGAACTACTGCGTGATGATGCTGACATTCGGTTTAATGAGAGTTTTCTCATTCTCGGTGTCATTCTCAGTGCCCCTATCATAGTTGCGCGGCTCAGATCCTTCTTATGCCTGGACCCAGGAATATACTGTAGGGGCCTTAAAAATTACCTTTACTATTTTGGTGGTTCCTTATTATATTTATATCATAATGGGCCCCGAAACCCTATTCTATAATAATTAAGGACCTATATTACATGTTCAAGCCATGGTGAGTAGAAGTGCGCTCATTGCTATGGCCATCGTCTATCATTGTCTTCACCCTCAGCTGTGGACACAATGGCTGCTACAGCGGGGGCGAGGCTTTGTGTGAGTTCTGATTCGAGCAACCAGAGACTTGCTGGTCATGTAGACTTTCCAGCATCGCATCCTGTACTGTCTCGACACTAACGATAAGCTACTCGTAGCCGAAGCAGTCGCAGCAAGAAGCCGGCGAGGAGCAGAGCAGCTGTTTGGGTCGATAACTCAAGAAGGCTTGGCATCAAGCATGCAACGTGCCATGCTGTTTCAACGCATCCCAACAGCGGCTTCCGGTAGCGATGCCAGCCACATCCCCGAGGGAGGTTGCGCTCGCTTGTAAATTCCCTCACTTCCGGCTTGCATGACAGCGCCTTCGCCTCCCGAATCGCTCCCCCGCGCCTACTTGTACTTATACAGTATACACATGTATCGTGTGTCCCCAACTGAGAACCGCAATGACATGATGGGCACAGTTCACTTCGGTCCGGGGAATGGCAACGCTTAAACACACCCGAAATCATGCCGATTTTTGAAGTCTTAGGACCTGCAGACCTGGAGTTGTTCAGGTCAGGATGGACTGCGGCAGTCATTTTCGTGTGGGCCGCTTGTGTTGACATGTCGTTTTACACTTGAAACATTCGACTGCCATGCCGTCTGCGAGTAATTTCGTCAGAAAACATGTAGTATACATGCGTAGTAGCGTGGTATGTCGATCCGGCATCTGACTGACGGTGAATGTCTTGATAAGAAGGGTCACCATGCTGGCGATGATGATAATGATTTTATGCTGCTGTGTGGTGTCGACTGTCACGTGGCTGTGATGATGCCGATCAAGTGGTCGATCAGCCAAGCTTGTTCGTACACTTACCCCTGTCATGAGCACTACTGACTACTGCCAGTGATACATCCATTTCTTCAACATTTCTTTGTATTCTTGACCCTAGATCGTAAACGCTAAGAGTCTCCTAGTCCCTTAGAGACAGAGGCCCATACAAATGCCTGCCGCAGATCTGTCTTGCACGGCGCGGGCTCGACCCCTGCAGCCCACAGAGATTTTAGAGGTTGGGAATTGCGGAAGAACAGCTCAAGCCAATCACTAGCACTAGTCGTACTGACAAGAGTCTTGCTACATATGACTATCAAGAATTCTCAGCTTAAATGCCGAGCTTTTTTTAAACCCGTGTCTTTGGTGCCCTGAAGTTAACTTTCGCATTTCCTGTCCGTCTGCGGATGGGTGCCATCAGGAGCGATGAGCCGCGCCCTAGGATGCCAAGGGCATCTCGTTAGGGTTCACAGGGTTTAGGGTTTAGGGTGGTTTTAGGGCCTTTAGGTCTTTTGGGGTTAGGGTTCCGTCGTGGGTTCATCGCTTAGGGTTTGGGGAAAGTATCGCAGGCATCTTTGCGAGCTTGGAGGAGAGCTCTGGGTTTCTTGGAGCAGCCAGGGAGCCTCTGGAAGCGTTGAAATTTCAAGTTACGTGGGACGACTGGGAGTTGCGATCATACTTGTAGAGAATATTACGCACATATTCAGGTTCATAACGTTGATATGATTATTGCTAGAAATCGTGTTGCTAATATTTATGGAATGGTATGAATGAGTTTTGCCAGGTCAATGTAGTCTCGAGCTGCGATGAGTTAAACGCAAGCAGTACAGCTTCCACTGCCCACTCGGAGCGAGCCGCTTGCGAAGGACAGCAATAAAACGGAGCCTTATGCTTCGAGTTGAGGCTGCAGCGCGGAAAGTTTAGGGTTTAGGGGTTCAGGGTTTAGGGTTGAGCCTTAATAATTATGATAGGGTTCTGGGGCTCCTTTATGAGAATCGTAGTATAGAATGCCCCCAAGCCCTATTCTAGTTATTAAGGCCCCTACAGTTTGCAGAGGCCAAAAGGGCTGCAGTATCATGGCTCAGCCTCTTCCTGGGTAGGGGCTCAGTTTGGCTGTAACTTTCATGCCCTGTTCCCTAGACCCTAAATGGGAGTTTCCGACAATAGGGGACCGTAATATAGTATCAATAGTAGGATCCGAATTATAAGGACCCCAAAATACGGTTCCCTTTGTTTTCGGAAACTCTCAAATCAAGAGCCAAAGAGAGGGAGAAGCCACAAATCTCCCCTCCAGGCGGATGTCTGCAAATTGTGGCTCTCCGCACTGAACGAGGCCAAGTTCTTGTGCGGGAGTGTAGGAGGGATTTTAGGATGAAACGGCAGGTTTCCCGACTATGGCGATATGTAGTATACTAGACCCCTAAACCCGATTCTAACTCTTGAGGCCCTTATACCGTGACATCGGTGGCAGATACAGGGCTCGGTTGGGGTAGCAGGTCGAGTATAATAATACAGGGGCCTACATGACTACCTTAAGTGTAGGGCCCGTCTGTGGGCAGGCAACTTCCTGCAGCTTTGTTCGCCAAGCACGGAAGGAAGCCATTGCACTTAAAAGAAATAACTACCTATACTATTGTGGGGTTCCCCTATTCTAACTATTAAGGCCCCTATATAAAATCTGCAGCCACACGCTGAGAGGGTACTTGGCAGAAACGTTTCTTGTATGCTTCCTGCTCGGAGGTAGGTTGCTGACAAAACGATCTGAGCCACAAACCCTGAGCCCGAAGCCCTAACCCCTAAGCTCGAAACCCAAGCCCGAAATTCTAAACCCTACTGTAAGTCCGGAATCTAAAGCCTAGTTCGGAAATCTTGAAGCCTAAGCTTAAGCCGGAAATCCTAAACCCTAACTCTGAAATCCTAAGCCCTGGCCCTCTGCTTGTAGAGGCCGTGGACCAGCGTTCTTCTCCGGAAGCGCAGAAACAGGCTGGGCCCAATCGAGGGAATGTTGCAAGGTAAACGGCCGCTCCATGTATAGGGGTTATGTGGTGGCACAACTGAGACTCCCCTGGTAAAGATACTGCAGCATCTTTCTGCGTAAAGCGGCATAGTAATCAGCACCGGTTCTGTTTCCATTCTAGGAACGCCGCTGAAGCAATGCTGCTCCAGACCCAGGAGCACTGCAAAAAAAAGGCGTCCTGACACCGTGGATGGCGGCACAAGCTGCGAGCTACTGAAAAGCTGCAAACCTGGTGGATTTTGCCAGACCCTGCGGCATCTCGCAGCCAGCTCTTGTGCGTTCTTCCGTCTATTTGTACTTGCAGGTGTAAAGTTCGTTCGTTTTCACTGTCGCAGACGTGAAAGGGGTCTGGAGTCGCTCTCCATCATGTACATGTCTATAGTCTCCTTCGGAATTGTTTCTCATTTTTGCTCATATAAAACCCAAGAGAATATTCAAAATAGTAATGCTATTATGCTTCTAAGCGGGGTATAGATGTTGCGTTCCTATGACAGCACGGACTGTCTTACATGGGGTATGGCACCGGGGATCCACATTTGCCGAACGGAATGAAGGATGGAAGTTAGCTCCAGACAGCGACTATGACTGACGATATGCTTCGGCATCACCCATCTCAGTGCATGCAGGTCCGAGATCTCGAAAACCTGGCGCAACTTGTCGGCCATTTTAGCTCCGGGTATTGCTGCTGCCACTGCTGCAAGTTGCACTTTTGCTACTGCTTCTGCGGCTGCTGCCTTAGCTGCTGCGCTGCAACTACTGCTCACACGACGACGACGACTACTACTACGTACTGCCACTATTTCTACCACTAGTACTACCATACCACTACCACTATCCCTACCGCTATCGCTACCACTACCACTACCACTACCACTAGCACTACCACGACCCACGACCACGACCACGACTACTTACTGCTGTTACTACTGCTGCCGCTGCTACTATGACGACCATGCTGCTGCTGTAACTGCTGCTGCTACTCTACTCCACTACCACCAGCACGACTACTACTGCTAATGCTACTACAACAATGCTGCTGCTACTACTACTACTACTACAACTACTACTGCTACTACTACTACTACTACTACTACTACTACTACTACTCCTCCCACTGCGACTCCCTACTCTCTACTCCCGACTCCTACTCCTCCTACTACTACTGCTACTACCGCTACTACTGCTACTACTGCTGCTACTGCTACTACTGCTACTACCACTGCTACCACTACTACTACTTCTACTTCTTCTGGTACTGAAACTCGACGACGGCTACTGCTTCTACTGCTGCTAGTTATTTTTATGGTGATGGTGGTGTTGATAGGGCGACATGACGGTGTTCATGCCTGAATGTCAGTCGCTGAGTATCTTTTTAGCAATCAGTTCTTGTCCTCGCGCACTACTACCTAAAGATGGTTCAGGCTTCGCGAGTACCGGCGGGTTCCACATCTACTTTTCTGCATCGGCAAGCCTAAAGCGCCGCTACTGCCTTTGCTGCGCACCCAAGTTTTGGGTTTTGCTTGTTTCATTTTGGACCTGTCCTGCGAATGTCTTCCATGCTGGTGCTTTCTGTTTACCACGGCATATCCTCTGCACTGTAGTTGCTCCTTGTCGCTTGCTTGCTTGATGGATTGCTTTCTCTTGCGCATGTCTGAAGTAGCTTCTCCAAGGCCTCTCCTAGTGCTTTTCCTTTCAAGAGATTCTTTACTGCATTTTCTTGACCTCTGATTTTCACTACTTTTTGTTATGTTGAAGTTCTTCGCCTCCCAAGGTGCGCGTTTTCCCTGGGCCTCTCTTTAGATTCGGGTTGTTGCTTGTTTCTGTGGTGCTACACACGCACCCAGAACCTCAGTCGCACCCTCCGTACACCTCAGTCTTAGACTTGCACCCCATACCTGCGGGCATAAGGTTTCGGCCTATCGCCTATACCCATAGGCTCCTTAGTAGTTCCTTTTTGGGATTCGTATTTAGAATCCTATAAGGTAACCCCAAAAAGGAACTACTATAGAGCCTATAGGTAGGCAACACACGAGGAGGATAACCAGCTCTGAATCCTGCAATCCTCCATTGCTTTTCCGCGTTCCGACAGCCGCAGCCATGCAAGAAGATAACATAAGATAACGCAGAATAAGAAAATGTGGCCACTACAGAAATGCAACATGAGAATGTACTCCGAGGCAGAATCGGTATCCGAAGTTGATGCCATCTGCAGCCCCCGCCGGACCCCCAGTTGCAGCTTTGAGTATCGAAGGACATAGGTGAAAATACAGCTACGATTACCCACTGTGTTAGAAAGGATGCTCTCTGAATCCGCACATAATGTAGGGCATATACGGGTCGGAATTATTGATAACGTCTCTTTTTTTGTCGGAGGTATTAGTAAAGAATATCCAGGAAACTTGTCACGCCTTAGCTCGGCCTTACATCTAGGTCCAGGTTGATAGTGCCTGGTATCCGGGAGTTTAGAACTTATGGACCCTAAACCCCAAACCCACAACCCTAACCCCTTAAACCTGAAGCTCTTAGGGTTTTGGGCTCCAGCGCATCCCCGTGGGAATGCAGGCCCCGCGCGTGCAGCCTGTGGCGGAACTTCCATCGTCCCCTCCTCGGCTGACGTTTTGCAGTAAGTGAGAGGGGTTTAGGGTTTGGGGTTTGTGTCGTGGTTTTGCCTAATTGTGTTCGAGCCCGGCATGCTCAGATCATGGCCTAAAGCCCGAAACCCTCCAAGCCCGAAGTACACTAGCCCTGAGCCCAGAATTCAAGCCCTAGACCCTCGAAGCCCTGAGTCCTTGTTCTTGCTGGAGATATGCAAGGAGCCCTCCGGCAGCTTCAGCTGCAGCTGCGGCTGCAGCTGCGGCGATGACTCCGATGACCGGAGGCCCCCCAACTCAACCGCCGTGCCGAGCTTGGACCGCTGTGTATGCTGTAGATGATACACTATATATTGGGCGTTGTATAGTATAAAATACATAGTGTATGGTATATGGTACATAGTGTATAATAGTGTGTGTGTGTGCGTAGAGTGTAGAGTGTATAGTGTATAGTACATGGTAGTAAGTAGGTAGTATGTGATATGTAGTATAGATGATGTCTTATATCCAGTACGGCCTGCAGGAATTTCAAATCTGATGACAATCTACCACAGCATGTACGACTATACATGTATACTATAGTATACCATAATTCAGAAACTAGAGTATATACTATAGTATATCATAAATAGAGACTAGAGTATATACAATAGTATATCATAATTAGAAACTAGAGTATATACTATAGTATACCATAATCAGAAACTAGAGTATATACTATAGTATACCATAATCAGAAACTAGAGTATATACTATAGTATATCATAATTAGAAACTATAGAGTGTACTTAGTAGACCCGGCAGTCGCTTGAGCGAAACCCAGTTTGCCAGAGCTCCCGCCCCCGCCCCCCCACATTTCGACATGCCGGCCATACTGCTGATGGAGAAAATCCTGCATTTTCCATTATAAGGAATATACTATAGTTCCCATAGTTTAGAGTCCTCAGGGTCACGCAGGGTTTTGTCCATCAACAGTAAGACCGCTCATTCGTCAAGAACTGCACACCATCCCTTCAGCCGAAGTCCCAAAAGGCACGAGCCACCCGGGTTCCAGGGTCCACACCGAACATGCTGGCGCGTGATCTCTCCAGGCTTCTGCTCTGGACTATCCCAAAGAATAGTCTGAAGACCTGCAACAGCATCCCCTTATATGGTCCCTTTCATCATACTGTAGGATCCCCCCAAGCCCCAGTTCGAAGTAGTAAGGCTCCTTTCGACCCTCAACCTAAACCCTTTGAACCCTAATTCCCAAACCCTACTATAGCCTAAACCCTAAACCCTAAACCCTAAACCCTAAACCCTAATATATAGTACATTCAAAATGGCCTGAGGCCGATGCCACCACCACCAGCACCGCAGGCAACCGCTCAGGCGAAACGCGTTCCGAGTTCACAGCGATAGAGAAGACTACAGGAAATCGGGTAAAGGGGTTAGGGTTTCGGGGTTAGGGTTTAGGGGTTAGGGTTTAGGGGTTAGGGTTTAGGGTTTAGGGTTTAGGGGTTAGGGCTGTTTTGGGTTTAGTGTTTCTGGCTTATTCAGAGCTACGGACTGTACCTGATTAGTGACCAAAGTCGTCCTTCGCCGTTTGCTCGTACCACTTTGCTGAGAGGGGATTGGTTGATTTCTCGGGGTGTCTCCAGCATTAGCATGAAACCTCCTTGAAAGCTGAAGGTGTGATTGCTTCCC